ATCAACTGGGCTTGAAGGCGCCTAACCACAACATTTAAGCACATTATGCTAAGTAAAATTCGCACTATATTTCTTAGTCCAAGTGGAGGTGGAGAGGTGAGAGGGAGAACAGGAATTCTTAAAGGTTTAGCTACTGTCCTCTCCTGGCCCCATTTCTCCTTCTCTCCCAACCCTTCTGTCTTCATCGTCAATGCAGCCCTTTTGCTCTCAAATGGTCAAATATTCTACACTACTTGTACCTCCCCAGTATGATCGTCCCCCTCATAGGCCTGTCTATTGTTTGGCTGAAAATGGAGACACATGGGACAAAAGGTAATCGTTTCAAGAGTTCCACCAATCTCTGTCTAACTCTTCTGCTTGTCTTCATCCCTCCTACCCCATTCAGGACCTTGTAATGTGCTCCTCTTCAGCGCAGTTGTGGTAAGTAGGCACCAGCTAGTCCTCCTGCGCTCAGGGTGGTGGAGATTGAAGTTTGTGTGGTCCATTAGAGCATATGATCAAATGTTTCCATGTGTCTTTGATTTTTCAGCAGGTGTTTTTTTTTTTCTTCAGAGAGGGAGAGACCACGAGTCGCACCTTAAAGACCCCTGTGAGCTGAACCCCATGAACGAGCTATGCCTGCTGGTGTTTACAACCTTGTGTGGCCTCCTTCCGCATTGAAGAGCGCTAACCTGAGGAAGGAATAAGGTGCTGCAGGAATGACATTGTATGACTTCCCACGCTAAATGACATTAGGGACGCCATCTCGTTCTCTCCAGGATTCTTGCTCAGAGAAAATCAGCTGACGATCCTGATGACACTTAAGCAACCCTTATGGACAAGTGGCCTCCTGCCAACAGCCTTGTCAGTGAGTCCTCTTGGAAGAGGGTCATCCAACCCCAATGAAGCCTTCAGATGACAACCACCCCAGGCAATATGTTGACTGTAATCACTAATTAAGCTATTCCTCATTTCCTAGCCTAGAGAAACTGATAAGCTAATAAATGCTTACTACCTTAAGGTATCTTGCTTTGAAGAAGGAGCCTTGTGACTCAAAAATTAAATGTGTGGCTGCTAACTAAAAGGTCAACAGTTCAAATAGCCCATCCAGCTCCGTGGAAGAAAGATGTGGTGATCTACTTGGAGATACTGGGAGAGTGGAGGGAGGGTAGGGTGGAAAGGGGGAACCGATTACAAATCTACATGTGACCTCCTCCCTGGGGGATGGACAACAGAAAAGTGGGTGAGGGGAGAAGTGGACAGGGCAAGACATGACAAAATAATTTATAAATTATCAAGGGTTCATGAGGGAGGGAGAGCAGGGAGGGAGGGGGAAAATGAGAAGCTGATGCCAGGGGCTTAGGTGGAGAGCAAATGTTTTGAGAATGATGAGGGCAATGAATGTACAAATGTGCTTTACACAATTGATGTGTGTATGGATTGTGATAAGAGTTGTATGAGCCCCTAATAAAATGATTTTTAAAAAATTACAGCCTTGGAAATCCTATGGAACAGTTCTACTCTATCCATAGGGTCACTATCAGGCAAAACCTACTTGACAGCAGAATATATAATATATAATTTATAGTTATATACAGAAGTATATTAGATATATTTCTTCCGAGCAATACTACTAGAAAAACAAATGAACACATACCCATCTTAAGCCATTCACTAAGTTGAGAGCGCTGCTGCTTGGGTTAATAATTACCAGTACTTAGAATGATATCACCATTTAGTTCCTTTTTTCTCCAATTATGGTGCCAAGACCAGGAGTGAGTGCAGCATTGGCATTACCAAGGAGCTTGTCAGAAATGCAGAATCTCAAAAAGCCTGTCCCAGACTGAGTAAGAATCTACTTTTTCCCAGAACCCCCGATGATTTGTAAGTCTTAAAATTTGAGGTGAAGTTCTGATCTACTGAACTTCTAACCTTACACCTATGGCTAGAAACTAGAATAACCTTAGGGTTTGTTTTTAAATAACATTAGAGAATCCCATCCTCAGACATTATTTCATCGGTCTTGGTTGAGACCTTTTATGGCCTTAGACCTAATCTTACTTCAGGATCCACCCCAATACACAAAATGATGTAAACTTCAGCTATGTAAACATCAGCTCTGATATCCAGCTCTGATGCTAGTTGGAGAGGCCAACTATGCTCAGGTGTGAAACCAAGACTTCTCTGGGCAAACTGTACATGTTGATAGGGTGTCAGTTGTATCAGGGATACCAATCTGGTGCATACATTTCCATCTCTTTTCATGTAATTTCTTCCAGGACTCAGTTCACTACAAGAAAACTATCTTCTTGGAGGTACTTTCTAATCGACAGGTTAGTCGGGATTTGATGGCTAGGGTCCCTCAGATAACCAGCAGATACTATCAGTTATTTTAACACTTGAGGTGACTCTAGAGTAGGGTGGGGGACATCCATATAAGCCCATGAAATTATCAATACCAGCTAACATAACACGCTTCACCAAGGAGCAGCAGTTCCAGCCATACATATGGGTGAGTTAATGAAATGTTTGTTGATTATGGATAGCCCGTGAAAGAGGTTGATAGGGAAAAGGGAGTTGTCTCCCAAAGGTCCACCCATCAGTAAGGAATAGCTAGCCATGGTCATGAATAAAAAGGGTGCTCCCAGAGATCAGGCACACATTACAAGGCTATGGGAAGAGACATGCGCAGCAAGGACCAGTTATGTCACACCCACTGATGCGTCCTCACTCGAAGCTTGGGCACTCACTGTAAAGACCAGCAACTTTATAAGCCACAGGCACATTTGAGCACATCCACCAAGAATCCACCAATATGCACACTCACGTCTTTTAAGTGGAAGGGGAAGGAGACCACTCAGAGAGGGAGGGAGGGCATGTAAGTGAAGGCATGGCCACAGTTCTCTCGCTTTGGTTCCACATCTCCAGCCCTGCCCTGTCCTTTATGGAGATGGCTTTGTCGCCCTTTTGGGTTCTGCCATCCCTCCTTTCTTGGTCTATCCGAGTGTCTCGCCTCGTGGCCCTCCATGCTTTCTGGAGGTGGCCCAATTCTGTATGTGAGAATGTACTATCAAAAGCTTTACTTTGACTTGCACCTGTGCTTCTGCTGTGTGAATTCTTCATACAAGAGAAGCAAGAACCATGGAAAACCATGCCAGGACCTAACAATGCTTTAACAATTATAAACATTCAAATTGCCTTTGGCCAAAAGGAAGGTGGTGGTCCCCACCCCTGAAGTATCCCGGTAGTGTGCCCCTTGTAATAGAAGAGAAGTTCTACCTTTATTACTGCAAGTGCTTGCAGCAGGCAAGCA